AAATGATCTGATGTTCCCATCTCTGAAAAGTAAGAAGAACAGTTGAAAAACGAAAAGAATAGCAATAAAAAATAACAAAAAATAAACTATACTCACGAAATGAACGGCATGGTAAACAACACAACGGAATTCCAATGCACTGTCACACAAAATAATTGAATGAAAATGAAAATATATAGAAATCTATGAAAATTCAATTTATCAATGCAATCGGAAACATTGAACAGAACCGTAAAATATTTAGTATTGTGTGTGTTGCGTTTATGTGCAACAGATGGCGCTGTCATTAAAAAACATGTTTTTACCTGTCACAGGTGTGGCATCTATATAGTATATATATAAAAAAGCCGTGCTTATTCGAATGCAATGTTATGTCAAAATTTAAAACCAATTGGTAAAGAGGTTTCAGAGATTTCCCTCACATGAAAACTTACATGAAAAACAGGTTATCAAAAAAAGCATGTTATTATCTGTCACAGACCTGACATTATTTATATATATATATATATATATATATATATATATATATATATATATATATATATATATATATATATATATATATATATATATATATATATATATATACACGAATTTTCTCAATGTTTCTTATATTTCTTTTCACTGTTGATGGTAACTGAAAATTCAATTCTCCAAAATTCATTTTTATTTCTAGTCTGACGCGACACTTGAACACGTTTCGTAAAACTTATTACATTTTCAAAGATTTTAGTTTACACACACACAACTATAACTGAACAGAGTTTAAACAGCTTCGATTTTATACCTGCACTTGGGTGAGGTGATAGGTTACAACAGTTTTGGATGAGGTGAAAACAAACTTTCAACACAAGACAGAACACGAAACAATGGGTATAATATTTTGTAAGTTAAAGGAAAGAATGGAAGTAACTGCTAAGGGCCTATTGGCCCATATTTTTTTATGCTTCTATATTGGTGCGGAGTCTTGAAGTGGGTAGAATATAGTTGTGCATTAATTGGATGTTGATTGCTGGTGTCGGACTTCTTAATGTGTAGTGCCTCGCAGATATCAAGCCGCCTGCTATCGCTGTATCTATCGATGATTTCCGTGTTTTTTGTTAAGACTTCTCTGGTGATGGTCTGGTTGTGGGAAGAGATTATATGTTACTTAATGGAGCCCTGTTGCTTATGCATCGTTAGTCGCCTGGAAAGAGATGTTGTTGTCTTGCCTATATACTGAATTCTTTGAGGCTTACAGTCCCCAAGTGGGCATTTGAAGGCATAGACGACATTGTTTTTTTTTTAAAACGTTCTGCTTTGTGTCTGGAGAGTTTCTCATGAGTAGGCTGGCCGTTTTCTTGTTTTTTTAGTAGATCGTCAATTGTATCTTTTGATTTTTGTCTGTAGGGATAACGTTTCTATTAACAATATCTTTCAGGACCATTTCCTCCGTTTTATGAGCTGTGGAAAAGAAGTTCCTGTAAAATAGTCTAATAAGGGGTACAGGTGTTGTATTAGTTGTCTCTTCAGAGGTTGCATGGCATTTCACCTTCCTTCTTATGATGTCTTCAACGAAACCATTGGAGAAGCCGTTGTTGACTAGAACCTGCCTTACCTTACAGAGTTCTTCATCGACTTGCTTCCATCCTGAGCTGTGGCTGAGAGCACGGTCGGCATAAGCGTTAACGACACTCCTCTTGTTCCTGTCTGGGCAGTCACTGTTGGCATTGAGGCACATTCCTTTGTTTGTTTCCTTAGTGTAGACTGCAGTGTGGAAACCTCCGCTCCTTTCCATGACTGTTACATCTAGAAAGGGCAGCTTTCAATCCTTCTCCATCTCGTAAGTACTGCCAGGAGCAACGCAACTGATATGTACAGGATGCCTTAATCCACTTGGCCATCACGACCAGGCATAAGGAAGTGATCGCCGAAGCTATTTGAACCACTTCCCTGCCGGCATTCGGATGGTAATCTTGGGCATAGCATTTTATCAATTCACCTCATTCTTAGGGGCACACTTGAGGAACACAAATGCGAACAAGCATGAATGGTCCCTAGGACTATATGCAACTGAAAACTCACACCCCAGAAGTGACTCGAACCCATACTGCCTGAAGCAACGCAACTGGTATGTTCAGGACGCCTTAATCCATTTGACCATCATGACTGGAGATAAGGAAGTGATAGCCAAAGCTATTTGAACCACTTCCCCGCCGGCACTCGGATGGTAATCTTAGTAAGTAAAGGCGCGTCTGAGATTCTCTCAGACGTAGGTTCGAACCCTCATCACGGCTTTTGCGGATTTGTTCATTTGATGCATTACGCTATTGTGATTTCTGTGTGTAATGAAGCAAGGGCGAAGAGGTAGAACAGCTTGTTGCCAGAGCTCTGGTGCAGGGGGGGAATTGTGTAAAACCCTAATTTGTGTCTCGGAGAGGCTGCAGGATCCGTGTGAGGGCAGTTGAACTCCCGGTTGTAATTATTTTCCCATGTCGTGGTGCAATCGATTAAGGCACGTCTGGGATCCTCTCGGACGTAGGTTCGAATCCTCATCACGGCCCATGTGGATTTCTTCATCTTCCTGTTGAGCTGGGTTGCAAGATGCAAAGACGAAGGCCTACTGATTTCCAGAATCATGAACGCCAATGGGATACTAGATTTTATAAGGCCTAGGGACCACTAAAACCATTTAGGCGTCTTGACTACCAAAACCATTAAGGTTTATGGACTACCAGGAGCAATAAGGCCTACGGACCACTAGAATATTAAAGCCTATTGACTGCCAGCATTATTAAGGTCTATTGATTTCCAAAACCATTTTGGACTGTTGACTACAAGAGTCATTGAGGCCTTTTGACTACGGCATTATTAAGGCCTTTTGACTGTCAAAACTATTAAGGCCTATTTACTTCCCCCGGGATCATTAAAGTCACAATGTACCTTCTTACTAACAGTAGAATATGACTGATTCACCTATTCATCAAGTGGGGTTGTTATTTATCAACGATCTGTCTACTTGCAGAGCTGGTGTTCGATCCCCGATGGTCCAATGGGTTGGTCACCGTTCCTTCACCCCTCTCCTCACATCCAGCCTCTTGAACCTCATATCCCAGCTCCTTGACCTCATATCCCAGCTCTTTGACCTCATAACCCAGTTCCTTGACCTCATATCCCCGCTCCTTGACCTAATATCCCAGCTCTTTGACCTTATATCCCAGCTCCTTGACCTCATATCCCCGCTCCTTGACCTCATATCCCAGCTCTTTGACCTCATATCCCTGCTCCTTGACCTCATATCCCAGCTCCATGACCTCATATCCCAGCTCTTTGACCTCATATCCCAGCTCCTTGACCTCATATCCCCGCTCCTTGACCTCATATCCCAGCTCTTTGACCTCATATCCCAGCTCTTTGACCTCATATCCCAGCTCCTTGATCTTATATCCCAGCTCCTTGATCTCATATCCCAGCTCCTTGACCTCCATATCACAGCTCCTTGACCTCGTATCAAAGCTCAATGATCTCGAATTCTGATTCCTAGTTCTCATGTTTCAACACATTTTCGTCTAATCCCAGGTTCTTCTCCTCGTGTCCCAGGTCCTTGTCCTTATATCGTGATTCATAGTTTTTATATCCCAGCTCTTTGTTCCAATATCCCAGTCACTAGTTCTTATATCCACCCTCGTTGTCTTCATATCCAAACACCTTGTCTTCGTATCCCAAATCCTTGTCCTCATACCTGAACCCTTTGTCCTTATATCTCAGCTTCTTGACGTCATATCTCAGCATATAGTTCCCATATTCCAGTTCCTTGTTCACATATCCCTGACCCATGTTAACATATGCTAGCTCCATGTCCTTGTTTTGGAGATCCATGACCAAGTATTGCAGCTCCTTTTCTTAATACCTCAGCTCCTTTTTCCCATATCCAAACTCCTTTTCCTTGTATACGCACAGATCCTTGCCTTTATATCCCAGCGCCTTTTCCTGATATTCCAACTGATTGTCCTCATAAAGCCTCTCTTAGTTATCAGATCTCAGATTATTGTCCTTATATCCCAGCTCCACGAACTTGTATCCTAGCCCCATGAACATATCCCATCCACATGAATTTATTTCCCAACACCATGAACTTATATCCTAGCCCCATGAACTTATATCCCAGCTCCATGATCTTATATCCCAGCTCCATGAACTTATATCCCAGCTCCATGAACTTATCTCCCAGCCTCATGAACTTATATCCCAGCACCATGATCTTATATCCCAGCCCCCATGAACTCATCTCCCAGCTCCATGAATTCATATTCCAGCCCCATGAACTCATCTCCCAGTCCCATGAATTCATATTCCAGCCCCATGAACTCATATCCCAGCCCCATGAACTTATATCCCAGCCTCATGAACTTATATCCCAGCCTCATGAACTTTTATCCCAGCCTCATCCGAGCACCATGAACTCTTTTCTCAACTCCATGAACTCGTATTCATGGAGCTGTTCCTTGTCCATATTTCCCCGCTCCTTATCCTGGTATCCCAGCTCCTTGTACTCGTATCCCAATTTACAAGTGTTATACAGTCATGTTGTCTGAATACAACTAACTTATATAATACTATCGCATTTAAGGACGCATTCAGACAATATATTTTCTTGCTCGTACAGTGTATTCTACATGAAATTGAGGGATCATGAATAGCATCTGATCCGATCGTATTGTTCTGATCGGTAAAGCGCACGGACTGTTCTTATCAACACTTGACAATGCTAGTTATTCTGATCAACACTTGACAATACTAGTTATTCTGATCATAACACGATAATGATAGCTTTGATTAACACAAGATTATGATACTAGTAATTTAAACAAGGCATGATACATAGGTGATACGTATCAACGCAACACTCCCGCCCCCCTCAAGACAACAACGCAACACTCCCCCCCCCTCAAGACAACAACGCAACACTCTCGCGCTCTTCAAGACAACAACGCAACACTCCCGCCCCCCTCAAGACAACAATGCAACACTCCCGCCCTCCTCAAGACAACAACGCAACACTCCCGCCCTCCTCAAGACAACAACGCAACACTCCCGCGCTCCTCAAGACAACAACGCAACACTCCCGCCCTCCTCAAGACAACAACGCAACACTCCCGCCCTCCTCAAGACAACAACGCAACACTCCCGCGCTCCTCAAGACAACAACGCAACACTCCCGCCCTCCTCAAGACATCAACGCAACACTCCCGCCCCCCTCAAGACAACAACGCAACACTCCCGCCCTCCTCAAGACTACAACGCAACACTCCTGCCCTCCTCAAGACAACAACGCAACACTCGCGCTCCTCAAGACAACAACGCATCACTCCCGCCTTCCTCAAGACATCAACACAACACTCCCGCCCCCCTCAAGACAACAACGCAACACTCCCGCCCTCCTCAAGACATCAACGCAACACTCCCGCCCCCTCAAGACAACAACGCAACACTCCCGCCCTCCTCAAGACATCAACGCAACACTCCCGCCCCCCTCAAGACAACAACGCAACACTCCCGCCCCCCTCAAGACATCAACGCAACACTCCCGCCCTCCTCAAGACAACAACGCAACACTCTCGCGCTCTTCAAGACAACAACGCAACACTCCCGCCCCCCTCAAGACATCAACGCAACACTCCCGCCCTCCTCAAGACAACAACGCAACACTCTCGCGCTCTTCAAGACAACAACGCAACACTCCCGCCCTCCTCAAGACAACAACGCAACACTCCCGCCCCCCTCAAGACATCAACGCAACACTCCCGCCCTCCTCAAGACAACAACGCAACACTCCCGCCTTCCTCAAGACATCAACGCAACACTCCCGCCCTCCTCAAGACAACAACGCAACACTCCCGCCCCCTCAAGACATCAACGCAACACTCCCGCCCCCCTCAAGACATCAACGCAACACTCCCGCCCTCCTCAAGACATCAACGCAACACTCCCGCCCCCCTCAAGACATCAACGCAACACTCCCGCCCTCCTCAAGACAACAACGCAACACTCTCGCGCTCTTCAAGACAACAACGCAACACTCCCGCCCTCCTCAAGACATCAACGCAACACTCCCGCCCTCCTCAAGACAACAACGCAACACTCCCGCCCTCCTCAAGACAACAACGCAACACTCCCGCCCTCCTCAAAACATCAACGCAACACTCCCGCCCTCCTCAAGACATCAACGCAACACTCCCGCCCTCCTCAAGACAACAACGCAACACTCCCGCCCTCCTCAAAACATCAACGCAACACTCCCGCCCTCCTCAAGACATCAACGCAACACTCCCGCCCTCCTCAAGACATCAACGCAACACTCCCGCCCTCCTCAAGACAACAACGCAACACTCCCGCCCTCCTCAAGACAACAACGCAACACTCCCGCCCTCCTCAAAACATCAACGCAACACTCCCGCCCTCCTCAAGACATCAACGCAACACTCCCGCCCTCCTCAAGACAACAACGCAACACTCCCGCCCTCCTCAAGACATCAACGCAACACTCCCGCCCTCCTCAAGACAACAACGCAACACTCCCGCCCTCCTCAAGACAACAACGCAACACTCTCGCGCTCTTCAAGACAACAACGCAACACTCCCGCCCTCCTCAAGACATCAACGCAACACTCCCGCCCTCCTCAAGACAACAACGCAACACTCCCGCCCTACTCAAGACAACAACGCAACACTCTCGCGCTCTTCAAGACATCAACGCAACACTCCCGCCCTCCTCAAGACATCAACGCAACACTCCCGCCCTCCTCAAGACAACAACGCAACACTCCCGCCCTCCTCAAAACATCAACGCAACACTCCCGCCCTCCTCAAGACATCAACGCAACACTCCCGCCCTCCTCAAGACAACAACGCAACACTCCCGCCCTCCTCAAGACAACAACGCAACACTCCCGCCCTCCTCAAAACATCAACGCAACACTCCTGCCCTCCTCAAGACATCAACGCAACACTCCCGCCCTCCTCAAGACAACAACGCAACACTCCCGCCCTCCTCAAAACATCAACGCAACACTCCCGCCCCCCTCAAGACATCAACGCAACACTCCCGCCCTCCTCAAGACAACAACGCAACACTCTCGCGCTCTTCAAGACATCAACGCAACACTCCCGCCCTCCTCAAGACATCAACGCAACACTCCCGCCCTCCTCAAGACAACAACGCAACACTCCCGCCCTCCTCAAAACATCAACACAACACTCCCGCCCTCCTCATGACAACAACGCAACACTCTCGCGCTCCTCAAGACAACAACGCAACACTCTCGCGCTCCTCAAGACAACAACGCAACACTCCCGCCCTCCTCAAGACATCAACGCAACACTCCCGCCTTCCTCAAGACAACAACGCAACACAACCTCGTCAAGACGTTGATTCATCACAATTAACCCCACACACAATGATTGTGAGGACATCATAACTGAAGTTGAACAATCAGCATCCTTACAATTGTGAAGAGAAAATGACGGATTAAAAGTTGTAAAAATAAAGAATGCCACTTTAACATTGTTTCTAAAGCAGGCGATGAGTCACAATAACGTGGCTGAAGTATGTTGACCAGACCACACACTAGAAGTTGAAGGGACGACGACGTTTCGGTCCGTCCTGGACCATTCTCAAGTCGATTGTCGATTGTCACAATCGACTTGAGAATGGTCCAGGACGGACTGAAACGTCGTCGTCCCTTCAACTTCTAGTGTGTGGTCTGGTCAACATTGTTTCTAAACATGTCATATTTTTATTTTGTTCTTGTTTTATCCGAATGACAATTGTCTGTTATCCGCCGTCGGATAAAAAGAGCCCTAGACAGTGAAAATATTTTTATTGGTGACCACAAATTATTATTGCATATTCAGCTTTGTGTCACGCAGCTGACCAGCGCCAATATTTAAGGCCGGCTACAACTACACATAGAAAAAACTACAAAATATAAATACAAATGTGGGAATAAAGGCTAAATAATTTTTTTCTGAATATATTTATTTCGCTTTTCAGCACACAGCGATAAAAATTATTATTTTTTTTATCACGTATTCAATATGACCGCTTTATTTACTTTATGTAATTATAGATAAGTTATTCATAATTTGTGTTCGTTTATCGATAAGGAGCAGTGATAATGCGCTCGCCCCTCGCGAGCGTGCTATTTGGCCTGGGTTCGTATCCTGGCCCGAGAGGATTGACTTGGCGCCAATCCTTAACTATACGCCTCTGTTTACCCTGCAGTGAATGGGTACCTGGTTGTTAACCGATTTGGCGGGTCGTATTCCAGGGAAAATTAAGATGAAGTCCCTGCCCAAAACGCTACACCTGCTAGTGGATTTAAATGAATGTAAGAACTCTTCTATATATATATTATTTTCTTCTCCGAGGCTATGGGTCCCCACATTGGCACCAGAGGTGGTACCCTCACTATATATATATATATATATATATATATATATATATATATATATATATATATATATATATATATATATATATATATATATATATATATATATATATATATATATATATATATATATATATATATATATATATATATATATATATATATATATATATATATAAATCAATACATTGAAGAAAAGAATATTTTAAAATTAATTAATTTTGTTTCTGCCATTTGATGCATTGATTGTTAGCTAATTTTATCTTAGATATATAAATTAGGCTTTCGTACGAATCCGCTTAGTTCTCTGTGCTTGTTTGTCTATTATATAAATATATATATATATATATATATATATATATATATATATATATATATATATATATATATATATATATATATATATAAAGAATACTTGAGAAGGCTTTAAGAATATAACAATAAATTCTGACGGCTGAAGACAAATGCAAACATCTTTCATGTAACATTATTGCATGTATTGCAATTTTGTATATTGATTTAGGAAACATTTGTGTCGTCTGAGACAAGCTGAGAGGATGATTGCGGTCCCCTGGCGGCACGTCCCACGATGTTGCGGGTCCAAGCACTGATGATCACTACACCTGGAGATCACTTCTGCTAAAACTAGCACTTTGTGATTGAATTAAAAACACATACATGCGAACAATTCTACAAGGGCCGTGACGAGGGTTCGAACCTACGTCCGAGAGCCTCCCAGACGCTGCCTTAATCGACTGGTACTTATCGAACCCTCATCACGGCCCTTGTGGATTTGTCCATTTGATGCATCACGCTATTGTGATTTCTGTGTGTAATGAAGTCAGGGCGAAGAGGTAGAACGGCCTATTGACAGAGCTCGATTGCATGGGGGGAATTGTGTAAATTCCTGGTTTGATCAGCCAGTGTGAACAATTCAGTAGGCTCCCACCTGGAGGTGTATATCGAGATAACTATATACACATTTATACCATGTTGGCATGTCGGGGGGATTCATAGTTAGGAATCCAGGGCGTGATCGCACTCTTTAAGAGTGTACAACCGCCAAGAGGACATAGAACCAAGGGCAACTTAGCAGCAAAATGTGGACGGGATGAGGCGTGTATGCCAGCTCAGTGTCAGGAGGCGACTGATATTCCTGGGAACTGTGAGAGCAGACAGGCAGTGAAGGAGTTGCCAGATGCTGAATAACGTTTACAGACAACATATTCATTTATATCAACCGTAAGTTATAGTGTGATAGTGATTATTATATTAGAGTTGTATTGACCTTTAGGTGGAGAGGAAATGTCGTACCGTAGTTATCTTCAGGTTATCTTGAGATGATTTCGGGGCTAAGTGTCCCCGCGGCCCGGTCCTCGACTAGGCCTCAACCCCCAGGAAGCAGCCCGTGACAGCTTACTAACTCCCAGGTACCTATTTACTGCTAGGTAACAGGCGCATCAAGGTGAAAGAAACTCTGCCCATTGTTTCTTGCCGGCGCCAGGGATCGAACCCAGGACCACAGGATCACGCGTCCAGTGTTCTGTCCGCTCAGCCACCGGCTCCCTACTGGAGGATAAGAATAAGATAAACTCCCTACTCCCTACTAGTACTAGAGTGCAGTACCCAGAGTATTTACTTGGGATCAAACTCTCGTGTTGTTGGCCACATTTTCTGATCCCCCAATTTCGTGCACAGCGATTAATATTGCTGTTTGCTATTGTCTGTCATTACATCCATATTCATTGAAGCTTTATTAGACGTAAAAGCTATATCTGACGTGATACAGTGAAATAGGACAATAACCTTTACCTGTTTTGGAAGTATTTATATTGGGTTATCTTGAGGTTATCTTGAGATGATTTCGGGTCTTTAGTGTCCCCGCGGCCCGGTCCTCGACCAGGCCTCCACCCCCAGGAAGCAGCCCGTGACAGCTGACTAACTCCCAGGTACCTATTTACTGCTAGGTAACAGGGGCATTCAGGGTGAAAGAAACTTTGCCCATTTGTTTCTGCCTCGTGCGGGAATCGAACCCGCGCCACAGAATTAAGAGCCCCCAGATTAGATTAGGTAGAGATAGATTCATAGGCTACATAACATTTATTCCACTGATGTTCTTCATTTTATTCCGAACGGATTTGAACTGACCATATGGCATTATTAACCAAGAGAACATTCGAGCAGTGAAGAAGAAGTAGTCCCCTCAGAGCCTCAGAGGAGACTGTATGATGACCAATACACACTTCAGAAAATAGAACAACGAGGACTTTTCAGTCTGCTTCGGACCATTATCGGCGAATAGAAAGAGAATGGAAGAAACAAATATATAAATGAAGAAAGAGAGCGAGATGCACGGTAAGAAGCAAGAGAAAAAAGAAGGTAAGATTAAGATGAACGATAAGAATTCAATGAAAGGAAAGAATAGGATAAAAAGTAGGAGTAAAATGAATGGAAAGGTAAGAATAAGGTGAAAGGTAAGAATAAGATGAACGGTAAGAATAAGATGAAAGATAAGAATAAGATGAACGGTAAGAATAAGATGAAAGGTAAGAATAAGATGAAAGATAAGAATAAGATGAACGGTAAGAATAAGATGAAAGATAAGAATAAGATGAACGGTAAGAATAAGATGACAGGAAAGAATAAGATGAAAGATAAGAATAAGTAGTCTCCATCTTGAGCAGTTGGAGACTACGTGGTAAGGAACAATGTGTGTGGAGAGAGACGGTGGTGGTGGTCGCCTGTTATCATACGGAGGAGTGCTGCTACTCACGATATACCAACAGAAGTGCGTTTAACATGATAGCAAATTATTCCCAACGCCGTGACTGAATCTGCTATCACGCGTACCAGCAGGGGCCCAGCCTTTCTCAGTGCGGTACTGAAATGTTCTTACATGTAGAATTCTGGTAGAGCATCTCTTCTTGAGATCTTGAGGTTATCTTGAGATGATTTCGGGGCTTTAGTGTCTCCGCGGCCCGGTCCTCGACCAGGCCTCCACCCTCAGAAAGCAGCCCATGACAGCTGACTAACACCCAGGTACCTATTTTACTGCTAGGTAACAGGGGCATAGAGTGAAAGAAACTCTGCCCATTGTTTCTTGCCGGTGCCCGGGATCAAACCCGGGACCACAGGATCACAAGTCAAGTGTGCTGTCCGCTCGGCCGACTGGCTCCTTCGCTCCATCCGACCACATGGTCCAATGTTGGAGTTGGTTGACCTGTCTGAGGCCAGTTATTACTACTTACTCTTTGGCAGTGTTGATCTACACTGTGTGACCCCTTGAGAGGAGTGGGGGAGGGGGGTTGTGACCCCATGGGGTAGTCACCCCCTCAAAAAAAATGTCCTCGTGTAGAGTGTATGAGGAGTGAAGTGTGTTATTCAGCCACTAGAACTGGAGAACCTTTTGTAATATGAAGATCATTTTTAACCTGAGCGAACAGTTCATCAGGCTGCTCGGTGCATTATGCGATGTATTTCGTTCAGATATGTCAACAATAAACATAGATCAAGTTGCATTAGTTTCAGTAGGTTTCGATGGCCGCACTGAGTACCATAAAAGGCCCCACTGAGTACCATAAAAGGCCGCACTGAGGACCATAAAAGGCCGCACTGAGGACCATAAAAGGCCGCACTGAGTACCATAAAAGGCCCCACTGAGTACCATAAAAGGCCCACTGAGTACCATAAAAGGCCCCACTGAGTACCATAAAAGGCCCCACTGAGTACCATAAAAGGCCCCACTGAGTACCATAAAAGGCCCCATTGAGTACCATAAAAGGCCCCACTGAGTACCATAAAAGGCCACACTGAGTACCATAAAAGGCCCCACTGAGTACCATAAAAGGCCGCACTGAGTACCATAAAAGGCCCCACTGAGTACCATAAAAGGCCCCACTGAGTACCATAAAAGGCCCCACTGAGTACCATAAAAGGCCCCACTGAGTACCATAAAAGGCCGCACTGAGTACCATAAAAGGCCCCACTGAGTACCATAAAAGGCCCCACTGAGTACCATAAAAGGC